CTCGTGAATGCTAGGTGCAGAACGGCGACCGCGGCGCAGAAGGCCACCAAGCGACCGCAGGCGGAGACCCTGGTCCGCATTGAACTGCCGCACCCGCCGGCACACAACGGGGCGCAGCGAGCGACACGGAAAGCGCCCCCGTGCAGACGCCGATGCTGCCGCAGAGAGGCACACGCCGGTCCGCACGTTTGGTTCGGTGTTGGCCCCGCCACGGTGATAATCCCTTGGTGAGTGACATTCGTCTTGCCCCCCCTCCACTTGCCACACACTTTTTCCCCAACCTTTTGACTCGATTTTGTACCAAAATCTATAGTCAAAAGGCAAGGCTTTTGACACGGTGGAGCGCCCGAGGTTGTGGAGGAAGCTGGAGGAGATGGGTGTACCCAGACAGGTTGTTGACATGTTTGAGATGGCATTTGGGCGGGTGTGGGGAAGGCTCCGGGATGAGGCCGGCACCAAGTCGGACTTCATCAAGTTCCCTACTGGAGTGAAACAAGGGGACCCCTCTCATCCCTGTTCTTCATCCATCTTGTTCATCAACGACATCACGCTTTCATGGAGGGCAATGGTGCAAAGGGGATGAATAGAATGGTATTGGTGACCCGGACCTGCCCTGGCTTGGCCGCTGTTACACCATCAGTTTGCTGCTAATTTGAAGCTTGTTGTCGTGCATCTTTTTCATTTTCCCCGTTTTCTGTCCTTCATGGACTTTGAGATGAAGCTGGCAATGATGGCCTTCTCCTTTTGCCACCTCACTTTGATCGTTCCACTTGCGGCCCAGTGCTTTCAGTCTGGTCTGCAGCTTCTGGCGCCGCTCTGCATTTGCTGAACAGTGCCTTGCTGCGCCCAGTGCACCTCCCTGGGCATCTGTCAGTGCTGGGAGCGAGATGCAGCAAGGTCCGCGGGAATGCGGCGCGGATGATGAGCCGGGATCGCAGATGGGTCTTGCTGGTGATGGGCAGCCGTGGCCAACCCACGCCCCTGGACGGACACTCTCCCTGGTGCAGGCCGCTCCAGAAGCACGTGGCGCGTTTCCAGATGCTGCCCACACCGTCGTGCAAGGCAGCTACGTTTGGTTCTGGGGTGGCACAGGGGTTGGGGGCGGCTCCTCTGGTCCGGCACCATTGCGAACTCGGAAGCCTGATGCCAGCGATCCACAGGCGCATCCTCGTCTAGAGCCCCGCGGGGACGCAAGCCGAGTGTGGCGCAGCAAACCCATGGCGGATCATCCGCCAAAGCATCGCAGCCACCCCCAGGAGGATCCGCATCCAAGAGAGGAAAGGCCAGCGACGGCGAGCCCAAGGTAAAGGGTAGATGAAGCGTAGCTCCTGTACCGGTCGTTAATCCGATGCCCTGCTGCGCTGAACTCGATGCGCAGGATCCACGCGAGGACGCCATCAAACACATCGAGTACACCATCGAGCAAGCAATCGAGCAGGCCCAGCAAGGCCTCGGGAGCAAGCAAAACTCTTCAGCTCTTGTTGCGCTCGCAAACGGCTCTTTCCGTGAGTTCCTCGCAGCCCAGCTGGCCCCCCCGCCGGAGGACCCGGACCCCGCCCAGATCAATGATCTTCCAGGCGAGAACATGACGGCCGTCGTCTTCGCCCTCCAGCAATGCAGCAGGCGCATCCAGGCGTGCGAACGGCGCACGCTTGCAGCCAACCAGGGCTCGCTCGTTGAGCAGATCCACCTGGCCTATCGGATGGCTGTCGACGGGCCGAAGATCCGAAGCTTCCTCTGGCGCTTCCTTCCATGGCCGGACTTCACCCCGGACGACTTGATTGGTGGCAAGGCCACAGGCATCCATCCCTCCGTGTTCAAGATCGCCGGCTTTGATGTGCCAGACCTGCGCCGGACCTACGCATGCATCCTGTTCCTCGTCGCCACGCGACTCGGCCTGTACCGGAGCCGAAAAGGCGGACCTGCGGAGCTGGAGACCCTGAGCGAAAGTGAGTCGTGGCGCCGCCCTAGAGACATCCAACTAGTCCAAGCATCATCCACCACCCACAGAACAGCTGAAGGTGGAGCGCAAGCTCTTCCTCTTATGGCTCTGGAGGATCATGTGGTTGGACGAGGCCAAGCGCAAGGGCGGGGACCACTGGCTCCTGGCCGGCGCATTCCTGAACCCCTTTACCCCGCTCACGATCATGCCGACCGATGCATCATTCTCAAGCCAGTTTCGGCAGTACGACGGCGTGCTGAAGCGTCTGGTTGCAAGCTCGATCGGCACCGCCGTGTTTGGACAGATGGTGCAGGACATCGTGGGCCGTGGGGATGGAGATGCCCCGCACCTGCCTGTGGGCGCCCTTCTTGCACTCCTTCCCAACGCCAGCCCCATTGCCAGCGGCCTGCCGGCCTCGGGAGATTCAGAGGTGGGCGCGGATCCCGAGGACGACGAGGATGACGTGGACGACAACGAGGAGGATGCGGAGGGCGCAGATGGCGACGACTCTGCACCGGAAGGAGGCGCGTCCAACCTTGAGGATGATGCCGATGGTGATGTGGATATGGGTGGCGAGTCTGCCAAGGGCAGTGGTTCACCGCAGGGCGTGAGTGTGTTCGCGGCCGAGAGAGTGGAATCCCGATCTCACCACAGATTTATAGGCATCCGAGAACGCCGTGCAGGCCAAGGTCTATGGAACGCGCATTGCACTCATGGAGGAGAGCGCGAAGGCGTGGAAGCAGCTGGGCATCAAGCTCAAGACCCCCTTCTCCGGGCCCGTGCCGCCCCCGATCGGTGCCCCTGCCGACAAGTACTTCCTCCCACATCGCATCGAAGATGCTCTCCTCTACAAGGCCCGCTGCGACGCCCAGCTCGCCCAGAGAGGTGGAACCTGCGATGATCCCGTGACGACGACCAAGTGGGCTCGGGACATCCTGCAGGAGAAGATCCACAGCGATCGGTTCTCAACAAAGTACTTTCAGCACCAGCGCAATCAGGAGCTTCTGGCCAAGGCGGCTGTTCGCGATCCTCATCTGTTGGCAAATGTTCTGCTGCGGCTTCAGACGGCCGGTTCTGGTCCGAGGCATATGGAGTTTTTGCAGTGGCTGGGTGGGCTGCGCGGCGTCAAAGATTGCTGAACAAGTCTCACCGCATCCTAACTCCAGACTACTACGACCAGACCACGCCGTTCCCTCTGGCCGAGTACAGCGAGTACCTGACAAACGATGCGGAGAAGCACCAGAAGCAGAAAAAGGGTGGAAAGCGAGCGCCAACATACCTATCGTGCTCTTTCAACATGTCCGGTGGCGAGTTCGTCTGGAAGTTTGACCAGCACAAGGCAAACTTCGAGGCCGGCATTGAGATTTGGAAGAAGGTCGACGGCATCGCGCAGAGCCAAGGCCGGAGGCCAACCTTCCGTGAACTGTTTGATGAGGCAATGGCGCATACGGCCAGCAAGGTCAAGGGCGCGAGCACCGCGGGCACCCACCTCTACAACTACGGCAAGTTGATGGTGGCGATTGCCGTGGTGTGGATGGTCCTGCTTGGGGCCGTCGACGACATGGTGGACGATGATGTCCGCATCCTGATGGAGGACCCCAAACTCGGGATGCGGAAGGCAATGGAGCACTTGGGCATCATCAAGCCCAAGGACTCGGTCGACACCATGGTCGCCAAGTTCGGGAAGATCCACGATTTCCTGAACAACGAGCTAACGGTGGCTGAGAAGGAAAGGGTGCGATTCGGCCGCCACTACGTAGAGAACTTGCTCTGCAAGTTCTGGCACCGGAGGAACGACTATGGCACCAGCTGAATGTATTGGCCCTTCAGAAGATAGATGAATCCCGGGACTTTCGGATTGGAGGGTAGGCGCCGAACGTGGAAAGGCTTACATCCTGGGCCCACATCCTCATATGGAAATGAGTGGATGACCAGCTCGATGTGTTTTGGAGCTCAAAACCCTTCCCGACCAATGGTGATTCAGGGCCGACGAGATGTTGTTTGGGGGCCGCCGCAGTTGGCGGCGCCGCAACCTGCGCCGCAACTCCGCACACCCATTGTCAACGCGGATCCCTCCCTTCAAGGACCATGCAGTGCCAGATAGGTACGCCATTCGCGCGTTGTTCGCCAGCAAGAGGCGGCCCGCGCGCGCAGAGCGCGTCAGGTGGGTCTACTTCCACCTAAGCCTCCGCCCCCGTTTCCATGCCCAAGGCCGGCGACAAGATCCCTCTGCTGGCTTCCTGGTGAGTCGAGCTGCCGCGTACGGCACGCCGTTCTGATCCACCGACTTGCAGGGCCGTATTCCCGCCGCAGCCCGGCGAGACGCTCGCCATCATGGGCCCCTCGGGTGCCGGCAAGTCGACGCCGCGCGACATCCCGGCCTTCCGCAAGACCACCGGCAAGTGGAAGCAGGACATCCGCCTCAACGGCGCCCTGCTCTCCAAGCACACGTTCGCCAAGGAGTCCGGCTACGTCGCCTCGGACGACCTGCTCACTCCCTAGATGACCTGCAAGGAGATGCTCCGGTTTGGCCGGCCAGCTGGCCCACCGCGCAGCGCGAGCAGCGCATCTCCGACGTGCTCGAGGTCATGCGCCCCGGGTACTGCTCGGACCGGCGCATCGGCGGCGCCCTCCAGCGCGGCCTCTCCACCGGCGAGCGCAAGCGCCTTGCCGCCCCCGCCGCCAACGTCCCGGCCAGCCAGATGTTGATGGCCAAGAGGTTCCGGAGCTCGGCCATCGCGCTGGTCAGCTTCGTCTTTCCCACCTTCTTGGATACCCAGGCCGCTATAGTCGCGGATGTCAGGACATTTAGAGAAAGTCGTGCATTCCCTATTCCTCAATTGTCTGTATACACTCGTGGGAAAACCCGGTCCACATCTTTGTCATTGAAGAACAGCGCCTCCAAGTTCTGCGAGATAGATGATTCCTGGGACTTTGGGATCGGAGTGGCCGCCGAACGTACACTAGCCGCGCGATAATCAAAAATAATATAAGAATGGGGACCAGATGATGATAACTAGATTCCATTGGGGCCACTGTTCCGTGTAATAAAAGGTTTTGGAGAATCCGGGAGTCGAACCCGGGGCCTCGTGCATGCTAAGCAAGCGCTACTACCAACTGAGCTAATTCCCCTCGACGGTGTTAGGGAAAGGACGCCGGCTAGTTTGGCCAGCATACCCCGGCCCCCGGGGGCGCGGGGCGCCCGCGGCCCGCGGTGAGTTGTCTTGCACGCGGCAGCAAGCCGCTCCGGACCCGCTTGTCACCGTCACCACAATCCACGTTCTCGTAAACCGCCGCATCGTCCCGTGAACTGATCGATGCCACTGGTAAACTGGTGCCCGGCCCATCAGGCCGCACCGTCAGCCCATCGCCATCTGTCCCCTGCAAGTGTCGCATCATGGATGAGGACAGATTTGGGAACCTTCGAAGCTGTCCATTACAATTGTTTGGGATCTACTGCGATCGCGATGGTTGAGCAGTCGAGCAGGGCGGGGAGTGAGTGGAGCTGGGGCAAGTGCCTGGCAACTCATCTCCATCCATCCCGAAAAATCCATCGGCACCAGAGCACGGTCGCAGAGACCGAACCGAGCCTGCCCGCCCAGGCTGCCGATTGTATGCACCGCTGGGGACGGAGATCCCGCGCACACCACTTCACACCCCCGCTGTGCCGGCCCCCGCCGGGAGTTCGTGCAATGAGCCCCAGCTCACTGGCCGGCGAGACAGCCGGCGGGACAGCCGGGATTCGCTCGGCGGGTCGTCGGCGCGCACTCCATCCCCTCCCCGGCACCCCAGCGGTCGTTTGCGCAGCGCACCGACGATGCCGGACCGGATATCCCGCCGCGAGGGAATAAGACCGTCGGAAAGTACCGCTGCTGGGCTTTCAGGCCTGTTGGTCGGGGCCCGAGCCGGCCGGCGCCCCCGGTCGACCGCTGGTCCGGCTGGCTGAGCGCGCCGGGGGGTCAGGCCGAGGCAACGGCGCCGGCCGCCGCCGGCGGCTTTTTTCGCGATTCTTAGAGAGTTCCTCGGGCTCCAAGGGGACTTTGCACACCCCTGTCGTGATATCGGAGCACGGCTCGCCTGGGATGGCGCCTGGTGTCGCCAAGGTGGATGCCGGAGCCCGCCTCGTGGCCATCGGGGCACAGCGATCCGCGATGCGGGCGACCGACGCGTGTTTGATGCCCGTGGTTCCACGCGCTTGTTCGTGGAGCGAGTGGGGTATGCCCTCGGATTGACTTCGACTCAGGGCGACCGCTCATCGCTCCCGAATCCACGCGCACACACCACCCCCGCGGCGGGGCTCCGACGCCGCTCGATACGAGCGGCGCGTCGCTGCCCTTTTTGCCGGTTGACCGGCGGGCCGTGCTTTCCTCCATCGCGCCCCGGACGGCGCCGAGCCCCTGCGGTACCCCGGGCCCGGCGGCCCCGCGCCGGCGCCCGCCGCCACCATGGGGGTCGTTGACACGTTCAACGAGGGCCAGGCGCAGCGGAAGAAAAGGCCGACGGAAGATGGGCGCAACGAGGAGCAGGCGGACGCGAAGCGGCAGCGGACCGTGGACGAGCGCCCCGCCAAGCTCGCGGCGGCCGTGGAGGCGATGGTCCCCTTCGTGGACGAGAGGCTGCGGCTGTCTATAGAGGGACGTCGCATGCCTTCAGTGTGTGCGATGCTTCTTTGGATGCATGGAGACAAGGACGTGATGTCCTATGCCTCTGCGGTGGTCTGCGGTCCCGTGAACCGTTTCCGCTGCGGCCGTAAACTGGTCCGGATCTGCCGTGAACCGATCCGGATCCCCTCTAAACCATCCTGTCTCATCATAAACCGGTATGGGGCGTGGGGAAGCGTGAAACTCTGCTGCACTGTATTCGTCGTTGCAGTGTGTAGGTCATGGGCATAAACGGGTCCAGATGTCCCCATGAACTCCTTGTAAACCATTACATCATCCCCGTAACCTCGCGAAAGATGAGGAAGCTCGAGCACCATCACTCAATATTGTTTGCTATATGCGGACGTCAGTAAGGGATCAGCTAGGGTTAGGTTACGTGCTCAGTTGGTAGAGCGCCTGCTTAGCAATTCATGAATCGAGAACTGCGAGGTTCTGAACGGACTTGCATGAGGCCCCGGGTTCAACTCCCGGATTCTCCACTCATCTTTTTCGTTCCTTTGGATGCAGTTTTGCTCCCAGCGGCGGGGCGGGGCGCCCCCGCGGCCGGCTGGCGCCGGCCTGCCTGGCCCTGCGCGATCGGCGCCCCGGCCGCGCGGCATTCGGCCCCGGCTTTCAACTCCCGGATTCTCCAGTCGTCTTTTTCGTTCCTTTGGATGCAGTTTTGCTCCAGCGGCGGGGCGGGGCGCCCCCGCGGCCGGCTGGCGCCGGCCTGCCTGGCCCTGCGCGATCGGCGCCCCGGCCGCGCGGCATTCGGCCCCGGCTTTCAACTCCCGGATTCTCCAGTCGTCTTTTTCGTTCCTTTGGATGCAGTTTTGCTCCCAGCGGCGGGGCGGGGCGCCCCCGCGGCCGGCTGGCGCCGGCCTGCCTGGCCCTGCGCGATCGGCGCCCCGGCCGCGCGGCATTCGGCCCGGCTTTCAACAGAATACGTCGATTGTAGACAGCAAAAGCTGATCTAGTTCGATAAGATCATTCACACTGTTGGCCGAACAAATGATGAGGGCGGAGGATCAAGCGGAGGGGCGCCGCTTTCTGGCCCCCCCCGTGTCCGGGGATTCAAACACAGCATTGTCGTGCTTTTTGTATCTGGATCGATGCTTTACAACGGCCTCTTGTATTTGGATCGCTGCTTTACAGCGGCGACGGAAAGACCCTTGGGATCGGTGTGATCGCCGTCCATGCAACTTTGGCCGTCCGAAGCAGCGCAAACGGAACGAGATGTATCCAGCGCTCGCGAGCTCGTCTTAGATGAAACCAGCTTCTCAACTAGCTCCGGTCGCGGCAAGGTGATGTGACCGTCTTGGACGTGTCGCGCGTGATGAACTCCTCGGCAGTCGCCGGCCCACCCATCACCTCCCAAACCCCGCATCGAGGCCGCACGATGCGCTGGGTCAGCAACCTGCCGCCCGAGGGCAAGACGCCGTTCCCGGTCGTCGCGGAGGAGCCGGACCCGATCGTCGTGGTGCGCTACTTCCGGCCGTCGGACTACGCCGCGTGGGGCGCGTTCACTGTCGGGTTCCCCGCCGCCTTTGTCGTCTGGGGTGAGTGCCGGCGCGCCGCACGCCCCGCACGCTGCGGGCTTGCGGCGGCGGCCCGGATTGCCGCCGCGATGGGCTCGCTGACCGCCAGCAGAGCGCCTGCGGCCGTCTGGCCACCCGCGATACGTCGGGCGCGGCGCGCTGGTGCAGATGCCCGTGTTCTTCGGGCTCGGGTTCTTCTTTTCGTTCACCAACAGCATCGGTGAGGCGGCCGTGGCGGGCGCGGGGCCGGGCTGACGCACCGCAGCGCGGTTCTGGGGCTGGTCGGAGAACAAGCGGGAGCGCGAGCGGTACCGCGAGGAGAGCGACAAGGGCGCGCTGGTGCCGGCGTGGTGGACGTGGAGGTAGCGGGATTGCGGCGGGATGCCTGGACGTGGATGCCTTGCCAGTGACGAGACTTTCCCCACCTGACTGGACCGCCTGCACGCCGTCCACAGTCGAAGTCCCGCCCGCCGGCGCGCCCGCAATGGCTGCGCCCGGCGAGGTCGGCGGCGCCGCGCGCGTGCTCGGCTTCTACGGGCTCGGGCTCGACGACGCGGAGCCGGAGCGGTGGCCCGAGGACGACGCGGGCCTGCCGCCCGAGCTGGCGCGCGGCGCGGACGCCCCAAAGGCGGAGCCCGCAGACGCAGACGCCGCGCCCGACGACGGCTACATGGACGGCGACGCGCTGGGGATCGTCCGGAATCTGGCACGGTGGGCTCCGTCGCCGACGCGCTGCCCGCGTGCCTCACGCGCGTCGTCCCGCGGGCAGGGTCCCTCTCGCCAGTCGGTACTTTCGGGCCCCTCCGCAGACTCGTTCTGACGCGTCACGGGCCCAGGCGACGCGCTCAAGCTGTCCTCAAAGTCGTTCGACCCGTCCTTCTTCCTGCGGACCGTCCACGCAAACACGTCGGTCGAGGACCTGGAACGCGGGCTCAAGTTCCTGGAGTCAACCATCGGGGAGCGGAGGGACCTGCTGCGTGCCATGGTCAAGAAGGACTTTGACCGCTTCGTGAACGCAAAGAGCAGCATCGACGGTTGGTGGATCGCCCGAGAGGGAGGGCAAGACGCCAGGCCGGCGCGGAGCTGACGGCGACACCGTCTCTCAAGACATCTGCAGGCAGATGAGGCTCGGCGGGGACGCAAACTGGGAAATGGGCCTCCTGGAGCTGAACAAGCACCTGTACAGTGCGTCGCCGACCGCTTCCGCGGGTTGGTCCCAGACCTTCGGAGCTCATCGGTGGTGTGCTGCAGGCGTGACGAGCAAGGCCGAGGAGGTGTTCCACCCGGTGATCGAAAGGAGGACGCGGGCAGAGAAGCTGCGGCTCACGGTCTCGCTACTGGAGCGGTGGAAGTTCTTTTTCAACCTGCCCGGCACGCTGCAGCAAGCAGTCCGCAAGGTGCGGTTCAGCAAACCGCGTCTAGCAGCGGGGAGGTCGCTAAGGAGGGCCCGCCGTGTTCCAGGGCAAGATCGACGTTGCCGTCCGCGACTACCAGAAGGGCCTTCACCTTATGAAGAGCATGGGACTGAAGGATTCCGGAAGGGACGCGGCGAAGGCCGTCTCGACCTTGACGGAAGACCAGCGCCGGGGTAAGGCGAAACGGATGCGGCGCCGCGCGAAGTGCCGATTTGACGTGGCCACAGTCTTCGGCAGCGTGTGGGCCGAAGTGGACGACATCGTGACGCACCTTCGCGACGTCCTCATGGACAGGCTCATGGATTACTCTGCGCCGCTGGAGGAGCACGAGAAGACGATTTCGTGGGTGGCTTTCGTTCCGCCCCCGATCACTTTTCCGAACCATCCTCAGGTACCTCGTGAACCTCAACCCGGCCGAGGATCCCGTGGGAGTGTTCCTGGATTCGCGGTTCAAGTGGATTTCGGGCCGTCTCCTCGAGGCTTACAACGATTACCTCACGAAAGTCACGGCCGACCTGAAGCCTTCGAGGACCTACACGGGCAGCACTCAGGCGCCCGATGTGCTCCAGTATCTCGCCTTCGTGGATGCCGCCAGCGGCGGGAGATCAGTGGACCTCAATCATTTCGTCGGTGCGTTCGTCGGGCCGCGTGGGCCGGAAGCCCGGTCACTCACCACCATCACTGGCCTGCAGATGATTCGTTGGACAGCGCACTATGGAACAGCACCGTTTCTTTGGTCAACGCCCTGTCGAGCCTCGTGTCCACGTGGTTGCCGGACTTTTGGAGGCTAGCTCGCGATTTCGTCGACGGGAAGTTCACAAAGGTGCGGAGGCCGCCCACTCTGGTGGTTGTTGTCACCAACGCACTGTGCTCCAGATGACGGGCCATCCGACGGGAGCATCCACTCGCCGCAAGAAACCGGCTGCCGACGTCTTGAGGCTGCAGCGCTGCGAGGAGATGGAGCGCCAGATCGCGGTCCTCTACGTTACCATTCTCTCCCGCGCCTTCTTCCTCCACCTGCGCACATCGGACATCCGCGCCTCCCGCAGAGGAGGGGCGGATGCGGGCCCGCAAGAGCTCGTGTCGGCATCGTCTACCGCCGCCCTCGATGCCCCGGATCAGACGCTTCCGTACCCGCCCGAACGGGCATCCCACTTGCTCAATGCGCACCCGGTTTTCTTTGCGCACGTGTTTTCGGGCATCGTGACCGAATGGGACAGCTCGTTGGACCGCTTGCAGGGTGCGGTTGGGAACCTGGTCTCGTCCTTCCTAAACCTTGTGGTGCCTCGCACCCAAGAAATCGTCCTCCGCACCACGGAGCTGATGTCTGACAACTTCCTTCAAGGTACGTTCAGTTGTCTGGTCGCAGGGCCTTCCAAACTGATGCGCAGCGGTGCGGGCCCTTTGGCAGAGGTCAGGACGCTCCACACGTACGAGGACTGGATCGTGGCATCTTCCAATCCGACTGCCTCGTCAACCGCGGGCACCGGTGCACCGTCGGCCGCGAGCGCGCGTAAGCCGCCTCCGATCGCTCGGACGGCACTCCTGGACCTTTTCGAGCGGCTGTGCCGCTATTTCTTTGGCGCCATGAGGACGCTAGGGTCCACGGCCGTGATGCGGAGACCGCTTGCGGCGGCGGCAGCGACCAACAGCGCGGAGCGGAGGCAGAGCATGTCAAGCGTTGCGGACTCGCCCGATCGGCATGTGCACGAACGGATCAGGACGTGTTTCATCGATTCCCTTTTCCTTTTCCTCGATGGTCTGGGCCGACTTTCTACGCAGCGCGAGGGGGCGAGGCTTGGCGTGGCATGGCAGGCTGCCCGGCAGATGCCAAAGGGCCCCGTCCAGGGCATCGAGGTTTGGTCTAGCTCTTACGTCGGAGTTCAGCAGAAGCATGCCGTCGATGCGAGCCGACTTGTGGGTCCGATGCTGCCGTCTATGGTGCAGCCTCTAGAGCACCACCTGCCTCCTAGGACCTCCGGGCGCTGGTGATCATCAGCAGCCTGAATTACCTGCTTCATCGCGTTGTTCCGGATCTCCTGCGGCATTTGGAAAACGTCATTCCAAACAAGCTTGACGACGACGTGAAGGTGCGTCGTCCGTCGGCCTTCTTCTTGCCTTTACTGACACCGTCGCGTAGCCGTTCTACCGGGCGGCGGAGATGCTGGACTCGATTCTGTTCGAGAACTACATCAAGCGCAAGACGACCAAGCTGTCCGACATTGTCCGCGTCGGAATCCTCTTCAGTGGCTTGGACTGGTACTTGCTTTCCAGGCCGCAAGGTTTGTCCCGCCTCGGTCGCGATTCCCGGGGCCGTAAGTTTAACACGTTTTGTCATGCAGAGATCGCGGCCCACGTCTTCGACACGATCGTTTCCCTCGTTCTCATCCACGCGGAAGTGACCTCCATCAACCACTACCTCGTCGATCGGATCGTTGGGGAGCTCCTGGTCGACATTGCGCAGACGATGCTGGATTCTTTCCGCCAGATCGATCGCTTTAGTCTGGCCGGGATGATTCAGGCCACGCTCGAGACGCACTACATCCA